TTCTGAATTTTTCCATAATATAAAATTTGAAGACCCAGTGAGATCACACTTTAATCACACCAATGAAGGTAGTGGTCAACCTAACCTTGTTAGGTTTTTCTTGCAGAGGATATAAAAAAGGAACATATTGGGCTGGTCTGAATCTTTTGGGAACCTCATCAACTGACCTAGTCTTTAATTTGGCACCTATACTGTGAGCATTTCCAAAGCCTGGAGTGCTATGAGAAGCAGTTCCATGTCATTGCAACAGGCCAGGACTGGATAATAAGTTATATAAATCCCATGTATTTATAGAAGGCTGATTATTATTTATTGAGAAACTTACTGGGTTTTTTAGATAGATATTATATAGCTGGACCTACTAGGTCATCTAATTTAAATACTATTACTATTGATTAATTAAGAAACTATTGTTTGGCAAATACATTTCTATAATATATTTTTACATGTTTACAATACTAGGAAGAGTTAAGATAAGAATTGTTTCTCATTCTTTTCTCTGATGTTCTCACAGGCTTTTCCAGAATGATGCCTGGGAAAGTTGTTTTTCTCTCTGTGGTCAGAGAGCTGCTGTTACAGTTCCGTAGCAGACAAACCAATTAAACAGAGAGATGAACAAACTAAATGATGAGATGGAAAAAATTAAAATAATTTCTAACCTTCTCCACTCATTCTGTTAAATAAATGTTAAAAAAGACCCCAAAAAATCTGGAGGGTAAAACTGCAGAAACAGAGATTAGATTAGGAAAATGAAAGGCTTTTCCTTCTCAAAATTCTTCAAAATTTCGATTATTTTCATTGCTTTGATAAAATTAGACCTGCGTGTTACTGCCATATTTTGTTTTTAGCTTCCATAATGATTATAAATTTTTGCATAAAATGAAAGCAAATAGTTGTTGATACTCCATTTTGCAGCAGTCAGCATGTCACTAAGTTAGTACTTCTCTGAGATCTACAGAGTAGGATTTAGGCTAATTCCTGGCACAGCACATTTCAGCCAAAGGTTGTTTTCCTTTAACCATTTTGTTTTTCATATGCCTTGGCTAATTGCAGGTAATTGGAGTCCAATATAATTTCTTGTTTGATTGCTTGGAAGAAGGGGCGCTTCCGTAGTTGAAAAATAGCTTATTTTCTTCAAAAATAACTGAAATCTGGCTTAGGGTGCTCTAGAGTGCAATACACTATACATTTGTGTTATTTTAGTCTTTTTAAAATTCCCAGAATAGTCATGAAATCTTTGGAAGCTAGCTAATCTCCAGGAGGATGTGACAGGTCTGTTCCAGGATTTGTAAGAGACTGTGACAACTCAACATCATAAGAAAAATTATTTCAAAATTATTGTAAGACTGGGTCAAAGACTCCAGAACCAGCTTCTTCTTTCAAGAGGTGACGCTAAATAGGGTAGAGAAGGAAATCTTGAAACAAAGTTTGGAGAGCTTGTGGAAAAGGGTTAATCAGTTTGACAGTGGTCAGCATCACTTTTACCTGTGCTGTACAAAATTGTGTTGTGTTGAAGGATGGAAATAATAATTTCCATTATAACACCAATAATGGAAAAAAAGAAGGAAAAAAAAAAAGAGAGGATTTATGTGGTAGTTAATGACATGGAAGAAAGTAAAATAACAAACAAGATAATAAGATAGGGAAAACTGTAGCCTGCAAGTTGAGGAGCCAGAGATAATCCTAATATGTTCAGGGTCATTACTTCTGTCCTTGATACAGCTTATTACCTTAGTGCAGAGTTTAATCACGTCACTTCCAGCCTGCTCTCCCCTCCAGAGGAAGACTTTGATGTGAACATGTGTGTGTTCCTGTCCCTGTGTAGTTTATCAATCCATTCTTCTGTCTTTTCCCTTACAATTTCATTTTTTTCTCATTGCCAAGCAAATCTAGTACAAAGGGAGGGGTCTCCAAGTCTGTGAAATTCTAACAAGTTTCATGTTCTTGTGCAAGAAAAGAGAACCAGAAATTACTCCCAGAAAGACTCTCAGCTGAAGGCAGAATTTCAGCCTGAGTTGTGACAAACAGAAGCAGCAAAGGGTAAGCAGAAGGATGGGTACTGAGAAGAGAAACCCCCAAAGACCCTTCCACATGAGATCTTCTCTGCATATTGCACTTTACCCCAAAATGAAATTCACAGGAAACTAGGCATTAGTTCTAGCACCCACAAAGCAAGGAGCTGTGCCTCTTAGTGGAAATAATATGTGGAAATTCCTGTTGCCTAGCCTTAATTCATCTCATTGAAACACATTCTTGTTTTTCTTTGGGATTTCTGTAGTGTTTTCTAGATGGGGGTTAAGGGTTTGTGTCTGTGTTTGATTTGATTTGATTTGATTTGATTTGATGTGAATTGACTTTTTTTGAGGTGTGATGGGCAGGGAGCAAGTGGTCTGCATTACTGAGCTTGATTTGCACCATCACCCAAGGTACCAGCCAAAAACACAAGACTGATAGGTTTTTGCAAGGGAAAGGTTTGCCTTCTTCTCTTTAGAGCAAAAGTTAATTTTGGGTAGAATATTAACACAATTTCTAACATTTCATCCTTGGCTTTTCTAGTGAAAATAGAAATTGCTTTTTCTCTGCCTGGTGTGGCAAGCAACCTGCTTTCTAAAGGTATGAAAATAATGTAAAAATAAATATCTAGTAAAAATACTACGATGGGAAGGAATCCAGTCTGTTTGGAGACTGTTGCAAGACATTGTCTCCATTGCAGACAATGTTAGCTCACATTGTCTTTCCTGTTCTGAGCACCTGAAAGGTGCAGTACATCCCCAAATGTCTACAAACAGTAGCAACTGAGTGCTAAATAATCATTTGCAGAACTTTAGGGCATTGTGAGTATGCTGAGGGCAAGATGCATCTGCTTCTCATAGACATAGTATTGTGAAAGCAGCAGGCAAGGATTTTTGAATGATGGGAGGGGAAAAGATTCAAAGAGGCTGCAAAGCATTCCTCTGGTTCTTCTCTTTTCATATTACTTTTTGTCTGTCATCTCAAAGTTCAGCTCACATCCACATCAGTCCTCATGGACTCCATAGGAATCAGCAGGACTTCATGAATCTATCATATGAACTCTGGAAATGGTCCCAAGTATGCTGATCTTGGTTTCATGTCTGGACAGCTTGATCTAAGCTTGAAACAGAATATTTTAGGTATACAGAGGAAAACTGTTTTGTGCTTATGTGAAGAGAAGAATGTTAGTTGAGATTGCAATGAGACATTTTGCTTATACTATGTCTTCTTGTGTCTCTTAAATCTATTAAACAGCAGCTGATTGCAAAACCGTCTTGCTAATTGGGTGGTTTCAAGCTGCTAGCAGTAGATATCATGTCTGTTTTGCTAAGTGAACATTTAACATTTAAAAGATTAAAAAGTGAGGAGAGTGGAAAAAGATGTAGGGAATCATTCAGGTTGTTTTAGCATCTGAAGTTTTTATCCCAATGGATTATAATTTTGTTAGTGTTAAGGAAGCAGCTCATGGATTTGACTTGAAGTCTTTATCGATATGAAGCTTGAAAAGAAAGATCTACATTGAGCCAGCCTTTCACAAATGCCTAAATCTGTTTCAGAGGTCTGCAATGGGAGATTAGATGGCTCAGATCTTGTACAGCAGATCACCATCACTTTGTAGAGTTGATGAAAATGGGAGGTTCAGGGGTGTTTCCATAGTATAAGAACCAGGCATGACATTATAATATTTAAGGGTAGTAACAGTAGTAAGCTGACCATTGTCATAAAAAAATAATTATGAAAGGTACTATTCCTGAAGGAACAAAAAGCTGATACACAACCATTCTGAGAAGGCAAAACAATACCAGAGTATCCCATACTGACAGACAGTGCACATTGGCCACTTACTAATGGTAAAATATGTGATATTTTCATTGTAATTGAGATTGCTTAGCCAGGGTTCAACACAGAAGGGACTGCAAGCTAACTTTAAAAGTTTGTAGACAGCCAAGTACATAAAGCCAAGACTTTGAGGAGTTTTTGTGTGACTCATCCTAGAAGCTAAATATGAGAAATTGTGAATATATTTGCTTTATGTACTACTGCTTGTACTTGAGGATTCTATACCTTCTTCTCATATTCTTTTACCTTAAAAGGCTGTAGCCTATGGCTGTTCTTTGGTGCTCTGTAAAAGTAGATCAGTTTTTGAAGCCTTTTTAAAGCCAGTGCTGAATTGTAAGCTACTGATTCAACTCTGGTTTTAAGATTTTTCAACTCTCCTATCTTAGTGATGATAATCATGTTTGTGTGTATTTGAATAGCTGAACCCGAAATTCCTTCATTTGACTTTTCACTAAGCATCTGTTTTAGCAGTGCTTTTTCCTCTGCATTAAGCTTCAGCCCTGCACATTTGTAACACTCAAAGTGTAGTCAATAAAAAGTAAATGTCTAGAAGCTCTTAATTGTAATTTCATAGCCATATCATCAACTCTGTCTTCCCTCTTGTCCTATCACAAGCATAGACTTAGGAACTACATTGCTAAAGTCCTTGAATTCTATTTGGGTAATTATTCTTCCTCTGTGAAGGAATGGACTCCTAAATTTGTTGCAGGTTGAATTCCTTTTCCATTTGCTCCTCCTGCACCTTCCTTAAAAGAAAATAAGAACATCAGTGTATTCCACAGTAAACAGTATAAATATATATGTTGTTTGGTTTATGTTAAAATAAATTGCATTCTGTGTTTAGCTTAAACCCTTAATGCTGTGGGATATGGGAATCATGAGGCAGGGGAGATACTAGCATAGGCACAACTTTTTGCTAGTTGTCAGATTCATTCTTTATTGATTGGTACCAGCTTCAGACGAGGCCTTGCATGGTCCTCACTCATTACTGGAAGCCACACATCAGTGTCGTGGGTCATTAGTCGCTTTCTTTCCTTAAACCGTAATTTAACACTTTTCTGTGATGAGCAGTTAGTCTTTCTTTAACACTGCTGAGTCTTTCTAGCAGTCCATGTCAAGGATTGAACTTCCCAAATTATATATTTCAGACATTAAGAAAGAAAGGACTTAATGGCTGTGACAGTCCAGACCCTGATGCAGACGATTCAGTAGGTCACAGCCCTGAGTCTGAGGACAAGTACAGAAAACTTAATGAAGATATTGATCTAATGATCAGCAGGCAAAGATTATGTGTAAGTACTCTGAGTTCCTTTTCATTTTTTTTACTTTCTGATATTTCTCTGAATCTGGCAGGCATTGCACAAGAAAGAAAACAAAGCTTGTGAAAGCCCTGATCCTGACTCCTCTTATGCTCTCACCCCACGCACTGAAGAAAAATATAAAAAAATTAATGAAGAATTTGATAATATGATCAAGAGCCATAAAATACCTGTAAGTACCAAAGGTTAGATGGCTGTCTGCTGATAACTGCCGCAGTTAACCCTTTCAGTTCTGGCTTCTTAAGGAAGTAAATTCAGCTAGAAAGAGGCTTTAATAGCCAAATATATAACTAAACAGTGTGGTGAGAAAATTTCACATAGCATATTTTTCTTTCAAGTCTCTAACTCTGAGAAAGAGACAAAGCCTATTATGGATGAAACCTACGGAAGGAAGTGAAATATATGTATATGAACTATACTCACTTGATTTACAGAAGTGTTTTACCACACCATTTGCCCAAATTATACTCAAAAAATAACAGTGGAAATCTTTCTTTGTGGACAGGCTAACAAATCTACAAACTACTTTCTGTGGTGATATACAAAAAGTGATGTAAAACTGAAATTGCCTTATATATAGTAATTAGTGTGCTTAGTGTGTGTAACTTCAATTTTGTTTAGTAACTTCAATTAGTGTGTTTAGTGTGTGTAACTTCAAATTCTTAGAATTGTCTCTGCTAAATTCAGTTGCAGCACTGAAGGGTTATAGCTACTTGCTCGCTGCAGAGAAACAGACTGCATGAGAGCCTAATGGCAGGTCTCAGACATGTTTTTGTGTTGGGGTGATTTTACAGCTTTATCAGAGAATTTGCTTTGACATCATCAGCATTACTTTAATGCTTTAACATGAGCTAAATTTTGTTTTAACCAAGGCAAAATTTCTAACAAGCAGTCATGTGCCTTGCCAGATATCTAAGAGAAATAACTCTGCATGTCGTATTTGTTTTGCACGAGACATACAAAGGATGAATTATTTGTCATTATGTTTAATATAACATTGTTAAAGACAAGTATGGAGGTTTGGAGGTTATATTTGATTGGTTTTCTAAGTGTCTGTGGAAAAAAAAGTAGGAAACCAAATATTTGCTCAGATCCAAAGAAGCATTTGAATTTTTATAGGTAACTTCTTATTTCTAAAAAAACAAGAATAAGAGATTATTTGTATGTGTTCATGTCATTCCCATACAAAGGTTGCATGGTTATCTGCCAAAAATGTTGTCTGCATACCAAGAATGCACAGTGTCTTCTATACTGTTAGTCAATTGCACATAAAAAATCTGACAAGTAAGATGAGGATACTTTTTAAGGAGGCTCAGATTCTCTCTCCAGCACTCTAGTTGTTCTTTCTATTAACTCTCAGCAGAAGGATTTTTCACTCAAGATACTTAAAACTTGAATAAGTTCTTACATAAAGCCAAAAATATTTTGGAAAAATATAAGGACACCAAATAATATTTGGTGACTAGACTAGAAAAGCACCAAATTTTATAAAGCAATATATAAAATGACTGGTTAAGGGTGCTCAAAATGTATGTAGACTATCAGGGAGAAATACAGATCTATCCAAATTTTTTTACCTCCCATTTTATTTGCTTCTTTTGGAAAGCTGTTTTTCTCAACAAAACAGCTCTAAAGCTGTCACTATTAATTTGGTTTCTCAGGATGCAACTCAGCTTGACAAATGATGACTGCAGTATTGAGGGAGACTGTTATAAGCCAGACTGCTTAAATCTTTTTCACATCAAAATCTAACCAATTGTCATTCTTTCATGCCATTGCTCTTTCAAGGATGACTTTTGGCTTTTTCAAATAAAACTGAGAGAATTTTCATCAAGCTACTTTTCTGCCTTAAAAATATATTTGGAGTGATCCTTCAGAACATCTGTTAATCTCATGCTACCTGTTTCTTTTCTTTCCTAACAGAATAGGTCATGTTATAATCATCTGAAATCTTAAGTCATTAAAAAAAATTTTGGAAAAAAAACTTCATTCCTGTAGTAGTGAGTTCTATCTCTTTCTTTACCTCTATAAGCATTTGGGAAAATTGTCTTTTCTGTAAACTGAGGAAATATATAAGATTAAGAAACCAGACAGTTAATGTGAGCATAGTATATCAGTTTTGTTTTCCCAAAATTAATGGCATTTCCCTCCAGTTGCTTTCATTAAATATAACTTTTTAACATCAAATATAGTCCTACTTCAGGAATTAATTGGTGATTTAGGGTACAACTTCCTACCTTTCAGGAGGTTATGAGGTGCAGTGTATTAATCTTTTTGTGCAATTGCTTCAGAGATGCTTCAGAGATACAGAACAGTAAAATGTTAGCATTTTTTCATATAAGACAGAATAGCCATTCTCTGAATACATCACAAGATTAGGGCCTCTGTCCTCCATCAAGCTGCTTACCACTATAGGAAGAAAGAGTAGATATTCTCTGGTAATGCAACAGGAGCTCCTTCTCTTGGCATAAGCCAACATGTAATGAGCAAGATCGAGATCACAACTCATACATAAGGGAAATTTGTAACAGCCTGGTTTTATATATAAATATTATGTATTATATACAGTAATTTCCTTAACTGGACAAATCAGAATAACTAAGTCAGGGAAGATATATTCATTTACTTGTGATCATCAAAGGTAGGTGAGAAAATTGGGGAGAAGAAAGCAAAATTAATAATAAAGTTACTGAGTCAAGTCTCTAAATCACTACTTATAGAATATATAAAACAATGCATTACCTCTGCCTGGTTTTGTAACATAAAAAAGCTGCTGCCAAATGAAAACAACACTGGCATTTGCTCCTAACAACTAAACCCAATAATATTTCCTCAGATAATTTTCTGGGGATAACTATTCATATTGTTCTAAACCATCTGATAAAAATTGGACACTTATTTGCAAATTTAATAAAAATTATGAAAGCGGAGAAGACAGAAATAGCTCACTAGAAGGAAGCTATAAGTATCTCTGTTTAAATGAATGAAGGCCTGGTTGAATATGGGGGAATAAAACCAATACTTAACACAGAATGTTTGGCCCATTAAGTTCCCAGGGGACTGAGTGTCCAACACTTTGCTTGGCATCACATATCACTGCTTGTGGAATGAGCGTCTAACATTGTGTGCTGTACACTGGCAGTATCATCTCTGGTGAGCCTTCTGCGCTCTTTGACAGTAGTGTCTAAAGGAGAAAAGACAAAGAGAGGGAGAAAAATAGGCAAAGTGTGTCATGTCTATACACATGACAGTATAGACTTTGTCTATATTAGAATTAGCAAAAAAAGAAAAAAAAAACCACTAAAGCAGCATGAAGTGTGCGTATCTCTGATGTGAATTCTTTGAACAGTCCCTATCAGGCTTTTGACACCTTTGATGCCAAATAACATTCTCCCAGACAATTTCTTTGTTTTGTTTGTTTGTTAGTCCAAGCCAGGAACAATTCCCAATTGTCAGTCTATGCGTAGTCATGACTTTTTGAGGCTGAGAAAGTTTAGTGGTATGGATGTGAACTGCTCTGTGGCTTCAGATGGCCTCAGTTCCTCCCTAGCTTCTGCTAATATAGATATTACACAAGTGCATCAGAAAATTTATTGTTCATCAGGCTGAAATGGAATCAATATGACCTATGGCTCACCAGGAATGACTAGGGAATCTGCAGGACATTGCAGTTCTATGTGAGGACACTTTAATAAAGTTAGGCAAAGAGAAAACTGTACCTAGAAATATAGTGTTTAATACTGATATTTACCCAGTCAAACTTCTCTCTCTATCTTTTGACCGTAGTGAAGAAGAAATAAAAACTACGGTGTTTCAGATATAGTATATTGTGCTGAAAAGCAGAAAGTAAACTAACTTTGCCCTTATAAAATTGCCTATGAAGTGCTCTGTAAACAGATGCAAGTTGATCTAGATAGTGGGAAAAATGACAAAAACTAGACTATTAGTACAGAAATTAAATAATTCAACTATTTTAAAAATATAATTTTTAAATGACAAAATGAAAGCTAAGTAACAGTTTTACATGACTAGGCAGACTGGCAACTCAAAGAGCTACCAAGATTTGAGCTCTTGTACAAATGTAGAAAAAGAAGAATCTTGAACAGTTTGGTTTGTACTGGAAGGAAGAGCATAGTGGTTAAAGCAAACAAGCTTTTAGAATTATGGCAAGACCTTCAGTTTTGCATTAGTACAGGGTTTTAAGTTTAGATAACAGAAATTTAGATTAGGAAAAGTTATTAAGAAAATAGAGACAATAATAGTCTCTACCCAGATTCAGAAGGTAGTCTTCATAGATCTTGTGACACAGGGTGATGTAAACCTTATGCACAGTGCTCCCTTTATTGGACAGTTATTGCAACATGGACTGGTACTCAAGCAGGCAGGTCCACGGGCTCAAAGCCACCAGGCAGAGAGAACTCCATCACATCAGGCTATAACTGGGACTGAAACATGGAGAGCTCAAACACTGACTTTGAACTCCACAAACAGTCACGTGCTTCTGACTAACATGGGATTTAGGAACATTTTTGATCCTTCTGACATAACAGTAGGACCAAAACATACGTTCAAGCTCTTCCAATGTTTCAGATTATGCTATGTGACCCTATTTCCAAGGAGCTTAGACCTGAGTCATAAGGGTGCAGATTACATGTAGATTCTTACATCTGTAGATTAGATGTAGAACATGTGGATTCCCAAAACACCTCACCTTCCTTTCCTACCTCTACTTAAATCAATCAGCTCTATGAAAAATACAGCCCTTAGAGTGCATTTCAGCTACTCAGCCAAGGGAAGCAAATTCCCATGTGCCCCCAGGATGGGAAGCAATGCCAGCATGTCCATCTATTCAACTACTGTTGCTATGGCTATCTCTCGAAAAAAGGAGAGGGTATCAGAGCTAAATTAATGCTTCAAAATCATACAAAAGCATTTGCATAAAGTATCCTTAACATCATACCCTGAAAATCTTGCTCTTTGTTTCAGTGGTTAGGCAAAATAATTCCTCCATATTTAGAGTAAAATTTTCTCTGTTCCTAGAGAGGACCAAGAAAGAAAAAAACAACCTTAAGAAATAACTTTAATTTGATGGATAGTACTGTAATACAGAGGGCATAGCCAACAGCTCCAGCCAGAGAAGAGACACAGGTGGCACAATTTCAGGGTGCCTCGGTTGCCTGACAAGCAGTTGATATGTCCAGCTCTCCTCCTAGGTCCTTGAAGACATACCAGTACTATCAGCTGCCAACAATAAAATTAAAACCTTTAATTTCCTCCCTTGGAATATGTTACCAGTGTACTTTAAACAATTTTTTGATATGTTTAAACTCTTGAAGCTTATAAGATTATAAATATTAGAAAACTTGCAAATTGAGGGTCTATATTCACATATTGAATACTTAAAATTCTGTCAGGTAATTCTGAAAAGGTTTTTCTGATCAAAATGACAAGAAAATTAAAACTTAATTTTTAAAACAAATAACTTAAATATGGATTTCTAATGTAGTCATAACTTTTATAGAAATTCAAGCAATTGATACCCAAGAAATCCCAATCAACAAAATCACAACCAGCCAAGAAAACTTGAACTGAGCTTCTTAAGAGCAAATGAGACATGTGTCTCCTCACAACCTCTGTTAGTGTGGTACATTATTTGCAGGGTTTTTTTAAAGCATTCTTGCAATGGGAAGTGGCTCAGGAGAAGATTATGTTATTAGGTATGAAAATAGGATATTGAAAAAGCATCACTAAACACCACTTCCGCCCCCCAAAAAATAACTGACAAAGACTAGTGTGTATCTAAATTTCTTGTATTTGTTGCTGTCCCTGAGGAGAACTTTACTTTTTTTAAGCCCTTCCAAGCTAAAATAGAAACTCATTAAAAAATGCTTTACTGTGCTGGCATCTTTTATGTGACTTGGGGTAATTCGGGTTACTAAGGCAACACAAGCTGAAGTTAGAGACTTCCCTTTTGTATTCCATCCCTTCCAATTTTTTCCATGTGATGAAGTCACCGTTGTCATGTAATCTTGATCTTGCAGTAATCTATGGCACTAGATTAAGGCGACAAGTGAACAATTAGGACTTCAAAGAATGAAACAAATAGGAAATTATGCTGCATTAGGCAGAGGTTTGTTTTAAACAAAAAAAAGTAGAAAAAATGAAAAAAAATTTTCTAAGTTTCACAAAATAAATGTGCAAGCTGTATTAAAGGACGATGGAATCATTATTTCAAAAATCATATTTAAAAGACTTGGTAATTATTTTGATACTCTTATCTTGAGTCTTAGGGAAAAGGGGAAAACACAAATATTTTAACCATCAAGTACAAAATATTTGAACTAAATATAGAGTACTTAAAGGCTGTTTCAGTTTTGTACTATTCTTGTATTTGTTTTCCATTTTTGCTTGTACAGGCTGTTCCACCACCAAACTTTGAAATGCCAGTTTCTATCCCAGTGTCCAACCACAACAGTTTGGTATACAGTAACCCAGTCAACTCACTGGGAAACCCCAACCTTTTACCACTGGCTCATCCTTCTTTGCAAAGGAATAGTATGTCTCCTGGTGTGTCACATCGGCCTCCAAGTGCAGGTAACACAGGTAGGCTCTGTTCAATCCCATTCCTTCAAATGCTCTACTATCAGCTCCTTGCATGCCTCGGGTCACTTTAAATTGTACTCCAAGAAAAAAAGAACATTAACAGTCATAAGAACTTGTCTAAAACTGCTGTGTTGAAAAATCAAGAGACAAAAAAAAACCAAAAAAAAACCCCCAAAACCAAAACAAAACAAAACATTAAAAAAACCCAAAAAAACCCACCAGAATACTGAATATTGACTAAGATTGAAGGAAATCAGTGAAGTCAATGAAGGGCAGACAGCATGATTTTGATTTTTCATAAAAAGGCAGTTTATCTACTTAATTCATGCAAGTACTCATTATAACATAAAACAGGGAAGAAAATGTAGCCAATGCAAAATTTGAAGTAAATTAGAACACTGATTACTTAAATAATCAGTCTACATGCTAAATGAAGAATTTCTTTTTATTGATTCACTCACAAATTCCTTGATGGGTTAATGTTAGTTGAGCTCTGTACTTCAGTACTTTACATAGCAAGGGGTTGTGCTTTGTTCTGGTGATGACCAGAGCTGTCTCTGATTAGGGTAAGTGGGGATTAGGTTGTTTCAATCTGTCTGCCTCCAGCAACATCAAGATCTTTAAGTATACCAGGTTCAAAGAATCATTTGAGGTTTCCAAGTGGGAAGAGAAGTTTTAAAAATCCTTAGTGTAAATGTCTGTGAAAGGCTGAGAAAATTAAAAACTATGGATATGTATTTATTCTGAGTTACATTCTTTTCCAGGAATCATCAGCCTCTTCCTCCCAATCCTTTACTTTTCAGACTAGCATTCAACTAAAGATAGTTTTCAAATGAAGGAGTACTATACATAGCTTTCAAACATAATTTTTCATATGCTGTGGAAGCATGAAACTAAAATAAGGAAATTAAGGGTACTCCATCTTTGGTTTGTCCTTGAAAGGCAAGTGTCTAATATAGGTAACATCAAACATGACGATTTTATAATTATGGATCTGATTCAACTGCGTGTTGAAGTCAGACGAAATAAATAATGGGTACTACAGCAGGCTGATTGAAGGTACAGAAAATATTTTGAATGTTTGAGTGTTGTAATTTATTGTGCTTATTTACATTTCATTCAAACCCCCAGGTGGCTTGATGGGTGGGGACCTCACAACCGGTGCAGGCACCAGTGCAGGTAAAGAGAGAAAAATTCTACTTATTTTTTCGAGTGAATAAAGGAGTTACTTCAAAAGCTGAGTTCAAAAATAGCTCCATTTTGGAGAGGGGATAGTAAAAATCCATTCACATTTTTTTAATTCCCTCAGCTGGGTTGTGGAGCATTCATTGGCATTTGTGCTTCTCTTATTAGTAGAAAGAGGTTTGTTCTCCACCAGCATCTAAAATCTTGCACCTCAACAAATTTCACAGAAACAAATGTCTGATTTCCTTCACATTAGCCTTTCCATAAAAACTTATGGTTACATTGCTTTGCCTTGTTCCAGAAAAACTCCTGATAGGGTCAATGTGAGAAGCTTTGAACCTTTTTGCATTCTGGGAAGGTTTGCCATTGACTTGAGTAGAATTAGGGCTTCATTTTATTAGTTTAAGCTTGAATAAAGATTTCAATAGTGAGCTGCTCATTGTATTTCAATGTACTGTGTGTAATCTGTACTTCCAAACCCTGCTCTAAGACTATTTCTAGTCAGCAAAATCTGTTAGCCTTTTCTTAAATAATTAGTAATTAACTTAAGCTTTGTCATATATATTTGCTTACTGCTTTGATACACAACAGGTAAAGGATTTTCAAAATACCCAGGCAGAGAAAAAGATATGCCATTTAGTCCTGCTCCCTTAGAACTACGAAGAAGTGTACTTGCTGAGGTCTGTATTATCAAAGCAATGTTGTCAGAGTAGTCCCCTTTGCTCAGTAAACTCAGGGATTTGTTAGCAATATCAGCAATGTTGCATTATGACAAGTAGAGATTACAAAAGACAATGGCAAAATTGCTTTTGAAGTTTGAGAAGTAAACATGTATATTCACATAAAATAATGTGTAAAGCATGATGTTTTTCTTGGGTAACTGCTCTCAGGCAGAATTGTACAGAAAAATAGTTGGAAGATCCATTTTGTGCACTATAAATCAAGGCAGATATATATGGCAATTCCAATACTGTCTGTTAATATCACTTATAAAGAAATTTTGGATATAATGGTTTAGGGTTTTTCTTCCTTGTCTTTTCTCAGCCTGAATTAGGGACCTCCACTCCCCTTTTATTTTCACACACAGATGAGTCACAGATATTTGTGCAATGCATTCACAGTACAATTAGAGCTGCACAGCACTGTACCAGAAAGGCCCTTTAAACACATACTAAAGATTTAGGGAGTTGTTTTGTATTAATTTTGGAGTTGGGAAGGCAAACCATGGAAATTTCACTATCAGTCTCCTTTGTTCTCAAAGAAAAAAAAAAAAAAGGTGACACAAAATTATAGGTTTTTTTATTGTCTCCTGTTAACCTCTGACACAGCGCTAAAGAAATATTCATTCTGCAGTATTCGCATTTCATCTTACTTGTAAGCTCGAGCAGAACTTCAGGAACAGAGGCAGAGGGACTGACATAGGAATTGATCGCCCTATTAAGGGGCTCCCTCTCCTGGCTCATATAGAAATATCATCACATCGTTACTGGTCTCCCATTCCTTTAAATAGATGCTGAAAAGCAATTAGTAAAGATGGCAGTGTTTCATTTTAAAACAGGGCCACACTAAAATAAAATTTCATCTGCATGTGCATTTCTGTTAATAATCCTTGCTCTTAATAAAGTCTGTGTATCACTACACCAGCTGAAGATTTATTTTTTTTTTAAATATGGAGTTTTTTTGGAAATATATTAAAAGCATACTTAAGCATAAGAAGCAATGGTTTGATTATTCTTATTCAAAAATTAAGGACTTGTATTAAGCTTTCAAACAATGCAATTTTGGAGTAAGCAATTTATTTGAACAGCATATATATGAGGAACACTGCTGAGAATACATCATAAATATTTAATTAAAGGAACAGTCTTTGTTCTTTATTGGAAAATAAAAGCTTTAAATGTCATTAAAGAAATGTTTTGTAAATCTCCTTAAAGCAGAAAAATAGGAAGAATTAGATAAAGGGCTGAAGGAAGATGGAAAGGTCACTATAAGGTTGAATCCTTTTAGTTGTATCATTCCGCAATGGCGCTATTTTGAACAGGCAACTTTCTTTAAGATAAAGAAAAAAAAACATCAAAAGTTCTCTTTGTTCATAATTTTACACAAGAAACAAAAACCTGTGTGTTTTCTTCTTTCTGGCATCTGAGAAGCTGGTAGCATGATCATGTTTGGGTTCATATTTCGGCCAAATTAGAACATTCTGAATTTGCATTTTTTCACAATGTGAAAAAATAGCATATATTCAAAATAATATACTCCAAGAGAAAGAGTCTAAACAATTTCATTTTTGTCATTATAAAATGAAACTACTTTTTGTTATTACCACCAGACCTCAGTTTCTGCAGTACTTCAATAAATTGCATCAAAATAAATTGCATTGTCACTGCAATATGAGAAATGGAAAATGATTATTTAAGACAGTGTTTAAAGAAGTATGTTTTTTCATTGCTTTGGATTATTTCAAGTAGTAACCATTGAATGATCCACAATTTACCTTGGGAGTTAACCCAAGACATAAATAGAACTTAGAAAGTTGACTACTTCTTCATTACACAACGAATTACCATATATGGTATTTTTAAGGTTAACCAAGGTTGTCTCAGATTCATAAGAGTAAGTTTGTTCTCAGCCAAACACTGAGTGAGTAGTTTCTAACATGTGATAGTAGCAACGGCCAACAAAATTGGAGTGATCTTCACATTTCATATCATTGTTAAATTATAAATACAGCAATGTCTTTGACACTGTTTCCTCAAAAGAGAGGCTTTTGATTGAAAGACAGAACAAGAACTTTTTGGACCCCATAGGCATACTATAAATCCATTTTAGTTTACTGCATAACTAATATGAAGGCTAAGTGATATATTTACCTGTTTACATAATAGACTACTTAAGTTCTTTTAATTTTAATAGACTGTAGTCTTTAACAAAACTCTTAAAGGCAACTTGAACACAAATAAGTGTCTGTGAGGTTTTAGTATTGTCAATTATCTCAACTCAGTTTTTATTCAGTGGCTTATTGTTTATGTTGAAAGTTTGATAGAAAACTAAATTTTTTTAATAGTTTTAAAGTTTTAAAAATGGAACAGTCTTTGCATCTGTCCTTTGAACTTTTGATTTTCAAAGTGAGTTCTACTTTTAGACTGGATTCTATTTTTCCCTCTGTATGCCTTTCAGAGAAAGATATTTTGTATTTTGTAATAAAGTTTTCTTTTGAATGGAGTGAGCCAATTTATATAAACAGCATTTCTCTAGACTTAAAACAACTGTAAATAATAAAATCAAAGGAAAATTTCCATCTCAAGTTTTAAATCCATGACGGGTATCATAAAATATATACCTACTTCAACAGTTTACTTCTGTAATATGTTTGTTTCTCTATTCAATTTCTGCACTGCCCCCCATCTTGACATTAATATTAAACTAAAGGAGAAAGTTATTCAAAAGTTATTGGGGCTCTACAAACCCTGTCAGAGGAACTCAGCACTTGCTGTCTTTCAATCTAGCATCTTCAAACTACCTTTAAACCTGTATTAAAAAACACTAGAAACTGAATAGATCAGCATTGCATTGTGAAAAATTTATCCCATGTTTTTTAATAACCAAATCCTGTATTGAATCAGCAGCATGTCATGAATCAGCAGCAAGTCATTTCCTTCTGGAAATTAGCCACAGACCAACAATTGCCTTCTCATCTTTTGAAGGCTGAGGTCCTGAACTGCCAGCCACTATCATAATTTGCTAGTGCTTTCATTCTCCTTCATTCTCCTTTTCCTTTTCTGGGTGGTGTATTGACAGTGGGTGAATATATTATATATTCTACTAGTATTTCTAGCTACATGGGAATATGGCTATATTATGGCTATATGGCTATGGTGTAGTAGTAGCAATTTTTAATTTATATTCCCTCAGGGTAGGAGCAATCCAGATGGTATATCCTCAAAGAGTGATGTAGTAAAAAGATGTGCAATCTGCCCAATTAAGCTGACCAGCAGCACCAAAATTAAGCCATGATTTCAAAGACATCTAACTGCATTAAAGATTTTTGAGCTATAAATATAAATAAACAAACAAATTTTATTTTAAAAATAAATTGATATGTTATAGAAGTATTCTTCACACTACCCTTGGTATAGTCAAGAGAAGGTAATTCTTGGACAACAAGTGTGAAATATATTAAATAAACAAATGAGCTTGGAGAACTATTTCTCAAACCACAGTTTATGGGTTACCTATTAGTAAGACAGTAACAGGCTTTGCCACAGAGAGCATAATTTGTTGTCTGTCGCATATTACTTGAGTGCAATAACCCACAGACTTCTGGCCCAAAGACTGGGCAAAATGTGGTACAGAAGTAAATAGTTCCTGTCCAAGGAATCTCACAGCACAAAAGAAAGGACACACAGTCATTCATAACAGAGTTTGTGATGCAATAGAGCCAAATCCAAACAATAAGAATTCATAAATTGGCATGTTGACTTAAAACCATGAAGTGGGATAAGAAATTAAAAATGCAACTGCTCTGGTTTTCCTTTTCCCCCTGTATTATGCCTTTAAGTGTTCCTCTTCCAAGGTTTTCTCCCCTATAATATATATATGTATGCATAAATACGAATACATGGTAGGATGGATGGATGGATAGATAGATTAGATAGATAGATAGATAGATAGATAGATAGATAGATAGATAGATAGATATAGATAGATAGATAGAAAGAAAGATAGATAGATAGATAGATTAGATGATAGATACTTTTTTTTCTTCATTGTTTTAAGGGCAGTACCTACAGGTAGGAGATTTTGGCAAAGCAGGCAGAACACTAAAACTTGTTTGACAGGTCTGATACATGGTATGAAGGAAATAGTCTACCTACTGAATTTTATGTCTATGTCAACACAGGCCTTTCCAACTCTAATTCCTAGTAACAAATAACACACAAAACTCACATCAATGAAATTCTGAGAATAGGCTTGAAAGGCTAGATGTTGCTGTTCATATAAAAAAATTCTAAAATCTTGCAGTGTCATATACAAAGGTTGGATGTATCTGTCTTCAACTAATTCATGTGACCTCTTACCAAAGAGATCCATGCAAGCCCACTCTCAGTACACTTCAATGAAAATCTGTAAAACGTTGACCTTTATTAGGCTTCTACCAGTGTAAGTGTTGACTTGTGGTTGTGTTCAAGGGTCCCAGGACAAGAGAAGAGATGAGAATCTTGACTCTATGTTTCAGAAGGCTGATTTATTATAATATTATATTAAAATGCTATACTAAAACTATATTACAAAGAATAGGGGGAAAGGATCTATCAGAAAGCTAGAAAGGAATAGAATGGAATGAATAACAAAAACCCGTGACTCTCAGAGAGTCCGACACAGTTGGTCATTAAGTAGAAACAATCCAAATGGACAAATCAAAGATGCACCTGTTGGTGAACAACGTCCAGACCACATTCCACAGCCATCAGATAGTTATTGTTTGCATTTTTTTTCTGAGGCTTCCCAGCAGGAATAGGAGAAAAATCCTAGCAAAGTATTTTCATAAAATATCATAATGACATCAATTTAGTAGTATATTTAGTTATTCTCTGTCTCTAATAACAATGTCTCAATATTTGTATTTATAAAAAGAAAGCTTGAAAGGTTTGAAAAGACCCTAAGTTCACATGTAATGAACAACTGAGTCATATGAACTGGTTCTTTGTAAATGGGATCTTAAAGACAGGCATGATTGACTTCCTTTATTACAAGAAGTTTCAAATGTTCCTCAAGACTAATTTGTGTTCTTTAGATAAAATCCCTTTCCAACTGAAGTATGGGGGAATTTTATGCTTTCTTTAAATGAGACAGGGATTTCACTGCTTTTTCTGTCTGCATTCTTTCTCATTAAGACACAACATTGTCTTCTGTTGTACACTGCAATACATATTCTTGTTCAAATTCAGAAAATAGAAGAAGGCGTTGCAAATTAGAAAAATGTCTGTATTTCATGCCTGTCCTGAAAGGAGTAGCTGATGCCTCTTGGATCTGGATTGCAGCAATGACTTTGCTGTGAGAAAGAAAGCAAGAAATGCTTATAAACCTCCTGAAGCTGTGACTGCAGCCCCACATGGAAGTTCCTGACAGTATTAAGTTAACATGACCCCTACTCTTTAACTTTCAGTGTGATCCACCAATTAAGATATTGAACCCAACCATTCCCTTTGTCTTCCAAATCTCTTACAAGGTCATTTTTCCTGTGCTAACACTTGGAGCAGTCTCCCAATAATAGAAGCCCAAGGAGACAGGGGTGGGCTAGGCGTCTTTTCAAATAAGGCATCCTATTTCTAATTGGAATTATACCAGTTATTGAAATATTTTTCATTGAAAAGCAGTTTCCTCAAAATGACAATTGACTTCAAACAGCCCAGAAAGGAAATCATTCATAATCAACAAATATTTTGTTAAAAGCAGATGATTGACAAAGGGATCATGGATTAAAACTGAAACAGGGCAGGTTTAGATTAGGTATTCAGAAGGAATTATTGATTGAGTATTTTAAGGCTCTGGCACAGGCTGCCCAGAGAAGCTGTGAGTGCCCCACCCCTGGATGTACTGAAAGCCACTTTGGATAGAGTTTTGAGTAAATTCTAGCAGGGGCTTTGGATCTGAGTATTCCAAAGTTTTTTCCAACCCAAGCCATTCTGTGATTCTGTGTCATGATTTGTCAAAAGAGTCTTTCTGGCAGTCAAAAGAGATAAGTTCTCTTTTCTTCCCAGGAATGTGTTTTTCTCCTATATATCTTTAGAAAGTAATATATTTTTCAGCAATATAGTTTTCTCTCTGACATAAGTCACATTCTGGTGCTGCTTTCTTTTTCTCAATTATCACAATGTTGAAACAACCCATAGTAAAAAAAACAAACAAACAACTTCTCATTTTTTGCATAAACAGGACTAAAATGGAGCATCTTTTCAACTAGTGTACTTATAAGAGTATGGTTAAGTCCTGAAAACATATTTAGGATAGATGTTTATCTCAGATCTCAGGGGAGGGCCACATATGAGTTGTTTACATGCTAGGAGATCAGGGCTATGCCAATAAGTTGGAGATTCAGCAAGATTTTTTGGAAAAGCTGTGATGCAAGCTATGTTTCAGACAACCACCTCATCACTAATAGGAGAGGCACTGACATCTCCTATTAGACTACACATTAGTGTGGAAGACTAGTGCATTCCTACTGCAGAACGTGGACTTAACTTTTGTAAATGACAAGTGAGAGTGAGGACGGAGAACTATGCAAGGTCAGGGGCATTGCACTGTGCTATCTTCTCATGGAAGTAGATACAACACAAGTGGTAGAGGCAGGAGACCTGTTTTAGCATGGTAAGACACCTTTTTTACCACAGTAAGAGCCATGATTGGACATTACATTATAGGTATACTGGCAATAGTAATTGTAGTGCAAGACTGAAAATGCACAAACAGGACCTTAACTTTGATCATCTATTGCTCTGCTTCTTTGCTGAATTTAAAAGTAAAATTTTAAAAAACAAGAAAAGAAAAGAAAAAAGGAATAATGATGAAGAAGAAAGCACATTCCCCCTTCTCTAAGTGTATAACTTACCACAGACCTTCATTGTCTATGATATACAATCCTATTTCCAAGGATTGCAAGGAGGGAGTCCATGTGCTGAAATATCTGCCTGCCACTTGGAAAGACTAATTGCAATGACAATTGTTTTGATGGGTTTCTCAGAGGTGCTTGTGTGGGTAGCCACAGGCTAATTCAAAGAGTCAGATGCCAGCTTTACTTATTTTTTATTTTTTTTAAGGTGTGAACTCCTAAAGTGGGAGAATACTTACTGGAAGCACAAATTTAGAAACATTTAAGTACAGCTCTTATAGCAATAAAACATAACCACAATCTTTGTGATCAGGTTAGCTTGCCATGCACTTGACCCAGCAGTGAAGTGTTTGTATGAAGTACAATGCACAGGTCAGTTTTCTGTTCTCATGGTCTTTCATCCTACACGCAGGACAACTGCAATGCCATCAGAGCCCTTTTCATCTTTTTAAACTTAAAGAGGAAGTTACCATTGACAGTTATAGGACCTCCATGGCAAGAATGGGTGAGTTGAAGAGAGGTGGCTTAGACTTCTGTTGATGTAGAAATCTCTACCATATATTTATATTTCTAAGTGGTTAGTTTCAAAACTAACAGAGTCATTGAGATAGTTTTCTTCTCATTCTCCTCCCATTCTTCCAAAAGTCTGAGTGTTCTCTGAACTGTCATCCTGTTTCAGCCGTCCTGAAAAAGTAGCTGATTCTTTCACAGGATGTTTGAGAATTCTTCCACACAAAGTCATTAGATTTCTTAATACCACATCTGTATGAGTTGACTCCCCATAATTCAGTTAAGAAGGTCTATTAGTTGAGTGTAGTGGGAATGGGCAGCTATTTAAAAGTGAAGATTTCCTTTTTCTCTGTATGAGGTTAGCAGCAACTTGGTTTTCTTCTCCTATTTGCAGTTAGCAACAGTTGTCTGCTGTGAAATGTGACAAATGTGACATATGAGTAAGAATTTTTAGTTACCTCTTTTAAAAATTATTTTTAGGTGAACAACAGTACATCTTCCTAGCATTAGTTCTTTGTTGTTGGTATCTTTTTATTTTGGGTAATTAACCATAGCTTGTTTCAGTGTGTATAAAAAAAAAAAAAAAAAAGAAATTAAGTAAGAGAGAAAAGGAAACTTTTCATTACATTTTAATTATTATTAAGAACAATTACCATTCCTTCAGAAAATAGGAAAATAAACTGATAAAACAGTGAAAAACTGGATGCAAATTTGGCAAAATTTTTATTGATTGTTTCGTACACATAAATATATTTTGAAGTAGAGATAATCTGCAGAATACTTTGCTCTCAAGTTTATCTGTATTAATTCTGTACTTAAAATTCTTTTTTAGAGGCTTGGTGATCAGTCAAAATGTCATATGACTATATGACATATGCATGTAGTACAACCAAATAGGAAGTAGAATTCCTCCATAAAATCCAATGTATATATGCATCTTGGAAGAAATATTAAAGCTTTCACAAGTAAAAGCGTACACTTATTGGAAACTTGAAATTAGCAAGTTCCTCCTTTAAGAGGAGGAACTCCTTCAAGAATTTGAAAGTTCATTTTGTGTTAAAATTAATCTCAGGTTCCTAAGGATCTTGTGAATTCTCAACCCATATTGTCAGTAAAAGCACTAGAATAAACAAGAGATCAAATAAAGGACATACAAATTGTATATCGTGTACTTCTTGCTCCCACTTCAGTTCTTTAGACCACCATAGAGAATTTTTCATTCAGTATATCTCTATATCTTTGGGATGACAAAAAAGGAAAAAAAAAAAAGAAAGAAAGAAAAAGGAAAAAAAAAGGAACAAAGAGGAACGTCACAGTTTCAAATGTTCAAGAAATCAAAGTCCTAAAATTTTCCAATTTTTCAAGACATGAATTATTAAAATGATGTTCAAGAATGATGAGAGACAAGAGAAAAAGTTACTGTATTTTCATTTGTGCTACCTTAACATGTGGAAAGTTTCCTGGCTTAATGCTCCATTTAAATTTATTGTCCTACTCTGAGAATATTAAGAATTGCAACCACTTTGCAACCCCTGTAACACCAATGACCAAAACTGCTTTAAAGGTACAGGTGTTGCTAATAGGGGATGAAAGGAGAGAATTAAACTTTGCACTCTATTCTGTCCTGATTAAGCTTGTGCCCTTCTGGTATCCTTAAAATCTTAAAATTTAAGATTAAGATACTTAAGACAGTATTACATGAATTTGTAGCACAGTTAAAAATGTAGTTTTTCATTATGAAATTGATTTTTAAAAATATTTATTCTTGATTGAATAACTATCAGTGCACAAAAATAACTTTCCCGAATTTTTTGAAAAGTGAAATTACAGGGATTAATCATGCAGTCGGTACTTGGACAGAATTCATTCTACAGTCAATGGCATTTGTGCCTAAATGCAAAATGTGAGAGCATGTCCAAGAGGAGTGTTCTGTGCTCAAAAAGTATTTGTCTTACATTCTCCTATTAGTCCAAATACAAAGTCTGGCACTGAATTTCATGACACATGCTGCTCCACTAGCTTGTCTAGAAACAATCTCTTTTCTGAATAAAATATTTTTACTCTTACAAGTCAGTGTAACAAACAATACAAGGAAAAATATTTTTTTCTGAAAACTTGTTGAATTAAAAATGCTATAAATTTACAAATTCTGCCATATGCCCTTTAAAATTTGTGCATCCACTGTTTCTATTTTCATTGTTTTCATTATGCCTTATAGAATCCATTTGTAATATTTAAAAATGTTCTGTTCCATTAAAAAATATTACTTTTTCTCAAATAAAAATGGAAAGCCAACTTGCTCTAAAATCCATCTGGTTTTCATTTTCTTATGATCTATAATCAGGAAATCCATTCATATGTGGCATATAATTTTTGTGCTTTCAGGTGGATAGCAGAATGAGATGTTCTGCATATGATCACATTTAAATTGATATTTGTCCAGGCAGAGTATAATTTTAAAGTATAGCATGAAGGAAGATTTAATTTGTACATTATAAGTCTTATGCATTTGTTTTGCCTCTGAATGTAAATGAGGCCATTCTCTTTGGTGGATTCATCTGAAAGTGGGACAGCTGCCTTAGAGCAGGCCACAGCTCTCTTGAATTAAAAGAGTACAGTTTAAAGAACTGTTTTCCATGCAGACTCTTCTTATCTTTAAACCACATGCATGCATTCATCACAGATTTCCAAATGATAGTTTTGTGTATTATTGGTATAAGGTCCATAGTCTTATATAGTGAGGATTTAGGATTCATTCCTGAATCCTCACTATACCAGAACAATAAGTTTGGTGACTGGAAAGAGGAACTATTATATGGCTTCAAAATGCTAGCAGGCATAATATGCCATGAACAGCAGAAATCTGCTGGGAAAGAAATTATTGAAGTAGTTCTTTAAAAGAATTTGATGTTTTTAAAATATAAATGTAATAATTCAAACTATTTTACATTAGTAAAGGTCAGATGAATGTTTCTGAAGAATAAAGCTTTATACAGAAGCACTCATTCTCCTAAGCACCATTTCTTAATAGTATATATGTAGGAAATGGGAGTTCTTTCTTGTAAGGTGATTTATTCTCTAAAATTCACAACTAGAAACATATAGAGTACAGTGGAATCCATTTTGCTATATATCTTAGGTGCTATATTGTTAGAGCTGAAAAAAACTCAGTGCTGCTTCAAACAGTTCCATTGCCACTCTCTGAGCAAATCCTTGTCATGTGACAGATTTCACAGACACTTTTACATCCTACTGGTAAAATACCTCCTGTATGAAGGTATGACACCAGAGAAACCCTAGATTTGCTTCATTTTTTTATGTTGATCACTTCACGTCTTGATTCTCAGTATTCAGTTTGTAAAAGATGAACTTTTTTAAAACACACTGTGGTTTGTAGTAGAAAATACTGTCGTATATTCAAAATGCCCCTTCTGATTTCACCACCTATAGTAACATATAGCATTAATTGGAGCACAATAGTTAGCTCATCTATGTTGAGGACAATTGTTCACTTTGAGAAAAAAAGCCTACTGGTACAAAATTAAAACCTTTTGAAAGCACTCTGCTGAATTTGTTTGGAAAGTATAAAATACATTTCAGAACTCATTTTGTTTTCCTAGCTCTATGATATTATTAAGGAAATAAACAACAGGATTAACTATGAAAAATATTTTAGTACAAAATTTCCAAAATCATTTTAATACAGAATATTAGAAATTATCTGAGTGCTCTTAAATTTTCGTTATATTGCAAAGGTTTGGAGATCATGATAATAGAAATTGTGAGAAAAAATAAGCCAGACCAGACCAGTTACTGAAGGTACCTGACAAGTACAGCATTCAAGCAGTTTTTGATATTTTTCCTGTGCCATAATACAGGTTCACAATTCAGGTTCTTCCAAAGCCGAAGTGGTGTTTGTATATTTAACAGCCTTTCACAAATTTTATTTCCATGGATTTTCTGATTTAATAAATTCAAGTGGCATATGCACTTGAGGATTAAAAACTTGAAAATCTTAGTCAGGCTCAGACACACTTCATTATCCTGACCAGAAGAGCAAACTGCTGTCATGTAATGTCATTTTTATGCCCACCTCATAGACATTATCAAATTTAGTTCCATAATCCATTTATGTTCTTTAGGGCTATAAATACCATTTCACACTGGGGAGGATTGGTGAGTTACTGTGGTCTTTGCTGACTTTGAGAAAACAAAGAAAATTTGGAGTTCCAGACCCAGAGGGCTCCGCGACACTCACTAGTTTATCTTCTCATACAAATTCTAGGCTGTGTGTTGCAGCTTGTGAACAAAAGTTGAGCTCAGAAAAGAAACTCTTCCATAGCATTTGTTTCTTTGGTATTTACCCAAGGTAAAGGCTTTCTCTTGCCATATTAATTTTCATGCTATTCCCTCTCTATGACTAAAAGAATACTCTTTTTTAAAAAAGATAATGGAAACATTTGCTTGTCAGAATTGTTCCTGGGGCCTGCATAAGAGAGAAGATATGGTGGTGTTTTCCAGTAAGATTATGGAAATTGCATAATCTTGCTCCCATTGATTTTTAGTGTTTACAGAACCAGATCCAAGAAGTGTAGTGAAAAAGAGCCAAAAGAATTTATGAATCCTTCTGGTCCTCCCCCCACCTTTTGTGGAAATTATAGCCTTGCTATAACTCATCTCTTATTTAAAACAAAAAAAAAAAAAAATCATGACCTGCAAAGGGCTGTCAGAAAAGGCACAATCTTCTGTAGATGTCAAGGAAATATGAAATATCTTTGACAGTTTTTATGCCCTTAAATGATCTGACTTTCCTGATTCTTGTAAGGCAAATGTCAGATGTTGACTGCTACAAGGGCACAGTATATTGTGCTATATACCACAGTGCTGTAAACAAAATTGTATTGTCTGGTTAATTTCAGGACATCACAGAGATGTCAGCAGCCATGAGAGAAAGCATTTGGAAAACAGTTATTCCAAATATAGCACATGTTGTATTTTACTATAAAGATATATGACACAGATATCTACCATGAGTTTTTAATTTCACAGTTTTAGAAGGGCTTAAAAGATACAGTGGACATCCTCAAACTTCTCTCTCTTTTTTTTTCCCTCTTTTTTTCACCTTAACAGGAAATGGATATGGAAACCCCCGCAACTCACCAGGTCTGCTGGTCTCACCTGGCAACTTGAACAAGAATATGCAAGCAAAATCTCCACCTCCAATGAATTTGGGAATGAACAACCGTAAACCAGACCTCCGTGTGCTTATTCCACCTGGCAGCAAGAGTACCATGCCATCAGTGGTAATGCATTTTCAAAGCTCTTGTTTTTATCTGCTTCAGATAAGAGTTATTTAGGAATTTCAGGGCTCACTCAGGAAACTAAATTCTTGATTGTTTGCTTTTTCCAGCTAGGGCTTGACATCAAGCTGAGGATGTAGGCTGAGCCTCTTTGATTGTTTTGGGTGTTGTTTTTTTGAAGTCTTATTTACTTCCTACCTTTTGTCTGTTGAGTTGCAAAATAGGAACTATGTCCTAACTGTGCACAGCCTAACCTTCTGCAGTCTCTCTCCCAGTAGCTGGAAGACTCTTTCCTGACGCTATTATAAAGGCTAAATGTAACCCTGAGCATTTCTAGCTTATTATGTTTTTCTTAAATATTTAGTCACACAGACTCCAGGCAGATGGTATATTAACAGTAGTAAATTAATTTGAGCCCTATCGCTGTGAGCTCCAAATTTTGTAATGATAAGAGATACTGATAAGAGAATTTTGTAATGATAACAGACAGAACAAGAGAAAAAGGAATATGAAATGTCTGTATCTCCTGCCAGGATTAGTGAAATTTAGGCAATATACTATGATAGAAGGCTGAATTGGGAAGGTATTGTGTCCATGTCTTGCACTTTCTTTTCAAAAGTTCATCAGTGTTTCCAAGTAAGGCTGTTTTGAATTATTTAACATTAAAAGTGAACTTAATTTTAAAAAATAGTAATTTAAGTGATTCAGTTTTCTATTTTATAACAAACATTATTAAAACAACTTCCAAATTGGTTTCTTCAGCTTGATGTAAAATAAATCGTCAAACTAAAACTGCTCATAAATGTGATGCTACCTCCTAAGTCAAAAAGTGACAAATACGGCAATACTCAAATTGATCAAGGCAGTGACAAGCTGTCTGCATCAAGTTATTTATTCCAAGCCCCTTAAAATTATATTACATAAAATTTATTCCAAGACCCTTAAAAATTATAATTTTATTATACTTTGTGAGTGGTCAGGTACAGCATGACAATCTGCAAACAATGGGACTGTAGAAGACAAATTAATTGTTTCTTGGACAAAGTCTTGTGCTGAAAACTGGATAGGTCGTTCTTATGATTGAGTCAAAGAGTCCATTAAAATGAGGACAAATAAGAGATCTATGAGGTGTATTTTTTCCAAGACATGCTCAGAAGATGTTTAATTTGCTGCCTCTATGATATGAAAATATTCCCTAAGCTAAAACCTGCATCCTGGTAAATATTTATATTTACTAATTTTTAACACTCCTTTCCTATGCAATCAGTCTGAGGATGTTGATCTGCTTCTGGTAAGTGCTAATGATGTTCATCTTAATAACAAATTTTAAAAAACACAGGTATTCCTATAATGTAGGTCAAATGTTGGTTGAAATAAAATGGAAAATAACTATGTTGTGAACAAAAAGGTCATGGCAATCTTTTAAATATAGTGATAGAAGGCCAGATGCACTTATTGCACATATTCAAATTAAGCGTGCTGGAATTAAGCTTTATTTTTGGTGATGCATGGAGAGCATGTAAACTTACATTGTTGAAGGTGGTGCAGCCTTATGACAGCCGCCTTTTTTGGTGGCTCTCCAGCCTTTTTTTCCTGCCACTCAAATAATTAGAGTTCTCTAGTGTAATTCTTACAGTGCAACACCTAGTGCCCTGGAGTTAAAAAGAAGAGTGTAACTGCTGTGCACTCTAACAGCCTTAAAGGGTTTTTTCACTGCACAAAAACAAAGTAGTCAGAGCTCCGTCCCCTGGTAAGAGTTCAGTGTTCAGCAGTCTGCGGGTGCACCTCACTTTCAAAACCCACCAGGAGCTGGGTTTGGCGGTTTTTCTTTTGCTTTTTGGGTTTCATTGGTTTTTGTGGTAGGTTGTCTTTTCTATGAGTGAAAAGGAAAACAATGGGAATAGAGGTGGTATATTTCATTAGTTTTTCACGTGATCTGTTCTTCTATCCACATTAAAATCAGTCTTACTAGTTCAGTTACCTAGGAGATACTGATGTAATGGGTTACTATGGTGACAACTGGTCTCTTGAAAGCTTGTAAATTATATGGTTGGCGGAGTTCATCAAAGCCACATGTTAAATGATTAATTTCTAGAAATTTGTAATAGCCTGTCTTTCTCATGCACAAAACATTCCCAGAAAGCAAATACACTCAACTGACTTAAAACTGGTCAATAATATGTTTATTTTACTTACCTTAAAAGAATCAAAGGATAAATAACTCCCAGTCTGCTCAGTCATTGGCTACTCCAGTGGTTTCCGTAGCAACTCCTACTCTACCAGGGCAAGGGATGGGAGGATACCCATCAGCCATCTCAACAACATATGGTACTGGTAAGTATGGGTGCAGGATGCAAAGGATGGGGAAGGGAGCAAGGTGCAGATAAGTGTATATCTCAGAATAAATTAATTAGCTAATGTTCTTTGGGAGAAACTGAGAAGAATTCATAGCTGTTATGTCTTTGCACTACATTTGCTTATTCTGTACCTGTCACTAACCTCACACGTATCTGTTTCAAAGTTAGCTGATTTGCTCAAAGTAAAACTGATTTGGTAGCTTTATTTCATTGGCTTTAGTAAAAAACAAACAAACAAACAAAACCACAAAAAAAAAAACAAAAAAACCCAGCAACCTTAAAACAGTTAACAGTTCTTAGTCTTCCTTGGATATAATTTCATGCAGTTGAGTGCACCATGCTAAAGCCATTAGGGTAGTGGAAATAAGCAGGTTCACTATCTCCAACCAGAGTTCAGTAACTGTTGGCTATCACAGCTTCCTACCTGGGAGGGTGCAGAAATGAAGCCTCAAGGCATCTTTACAGTTCCTGTTGTGTATTGCTGCTGTACACAGTGCACACAGTGACACAGATCCAGCACATTTTGAGAACACATATATTGTTCAGAAGCAGGCTGCCTGCTGGCTTCTGCAAGGAAGACTGTAAACAAAATGTTATAGTTTCCAAGTCTTTCTGACAGTCCTTTTGTAGTTATGGTGAATTTACAGGCTAAGAATGCTTTAGATCTGGCAGACCCAGTAAAACCCTGCTAGATTACAGAATAATTATTAGTGTGTTATTTGCTTCCAAGTCAATGAGTTGAGGGAAGAGGGAGATTTTCTTTTTCTGCTGTAACTTAATGTGATTGCTGTAATTAAAATTAAAAGGCTTACAAAGTGACATGAAAATTACTATACTAGTTGTTGTTTAATTGCTTCCTCTCTAATTCTCTCTTAATTTTCATCTTTCTGTTTTCAAATCTAGAATATTCTCTGAGTAGTGCAGATATATCATCTCTCTCTGGTTTTAATACTGCCAGTGCTCTTCATCTTGGTTCTGTGACTGGCTGGCAACAGCAACACCTACATAATATGCCACCATCTGCCCTCAGTCAATTGGGGTAAGCAGTGCTTTCTTTATTTTACTGTCCTACAGTGACTTCAGTCTCCCCAGTAATTCCAAATGTGAAATATGTCAAGATAACATACCAGAGCATATCTACTGTGTATAAAAACTAGATTTTGCAAAACTGGAGCAATGTAATTCATGGAAAGTTTGCTTGGGAGCTACAATGAAATATTCTGTGTTCGTGGCATTTTCTCAGTAGTGTATTGTTCATGTTTTAGTTTTTATTTCTTTAAATAAGATTTTATTTCACTACTAAAACCATACACCTATATTGTTCTGATGCCATATTTATTATTTATGTTTTTAATTTCCAGTTACTGTTGCACAAACATTTACAGTAAGAAATTTTTTTCAATATTTTAATAAAGTAACATTAAATAATTAATTGACATGACATTAAGTCTTAACCTTATATAATAATCACATACTTCCTTCTGCTCAACTCTGAAATTCAAGTTTCTTTTATTTCTACATGATTTTTATGAGAAAATAGCATGATTAAGCCAAAGAACTGTAAGCTTACAAAACTCATTTTGATGTGCCTGTGCTGAGGAGTACAGGTATTCCTGCCCTCTAGTGGCTAATTTTACAATATTTATTCAAGTTTCAGAGAAACACAGCGCTCAATCATCTCAGGATTTTTAGAAGTGTGAAAATTCACACAGGGAAATCATCTGAACAAGCAACCTCTTGGCTTATGTATGTGAACAGGTGTACAATTTTCAAACATCTTGATATCTACAATTTCTATTGAGTAGAATAGGCATGCACTAGTGTGGCACAAGAGCTTAATGTATGTTTAGACATGTTGGAATTTTAAAAGGTTTAGCTATAAAAATAAAAGCTGAGAACAGCAGAAGTGTATTTATGAGGAAAAAATTTAATTCATATGCATTTGAAAGGAAAACCATTTTTTTTCAGAAAGAGGTCTTCCACATATGCACTTTCTCTTTTTGAGATTGTTTCCATAGTGTGGAACAATTTAATACTCTAAATGTGCCTTAAACTTCAAAATTCTCCTTCTACTTTATCTGACCATTTTTTGTAACTTATTTTGATGTCTTTACCATGATGATAATTTGGGTTTTTAAGGAGAGCTATGCAAATGTATCAAAGGAAACACATTTTTTAAAGCTTATTTCTGCATAAATAACTACATATAGATACAAATGTCATAAAAACATACAACTGAAATACTTGTGCTAGAAAAAAAATAGTCTTAATATCTTTCCCTTATACTTTTCTTTGTGAGTTTGCACTACTTCTGGGCCAGCATTCAGACTTATTGTACAACTAAAATCATAAATTCTCAAATAAATTGAAAGCTCACATGTTAGGTATCACTGTATAAACAATTGATACCATACCAAAGAATGTAATAAGGCTATTTGATTAGCAAAAAAAAAAAAATATATATAAACTAACTCCTAAACTAATTACATGCCTTTTCAGATACGTCACACATCATGATCTGTTTCTGATTTGTATCACAGAATGTCAAAGTGTAATATCTGTGGCTGTGAAATACATTCTGAGTTGCTACTCTTATTATTATTACTCTTTCAGTGATTTGTAAGTGAATTCAGCTATGAAAGCTGCTTCACAGACAGTTCTGGAGAAGTCTTCTATCACTGCAGAAAATCATAATCACTGAGTTCTACATGAAAGAGCATCTGTTTTAGCTTTTGAATTACTTGAAAAACTTGAAATTCTGTGGAATGTATCCAGTGTATATCAACCTGATTTAGAATTTGTAAAAAGATTTTAAAAATTAAACAAAATTACAGTCATCCTCAGATACTTGAGAAAACCCATTCAGAAATGTTTTGACAACATAAATCTCAGTGCTTAGTGGGGTCACATACTGAAAAGGTTTGGCAGTGAGATGCCTGTTGTTAACAGTAAGCTATAAAAACCTGTGAGAAAACAGTTAATGGAAGACACATTCCAGGTCTCTTTCAGTTTTTGTTTTTCACCAAAGTCTAAAGGTGAAAATCAGCTCTGCTTCCTCAATGCATGACAAGAATGTGATTAGTAATAGAATAAGATAGGATTAGAAGCATTATCTTGCTTCAGATAAGTCCTCGGCAATTTCAGTAGCACTGTCAGAACCATCTTGGAGATAATCGGAGATCTCTGCAACTAAGTTCTTAGTTCTTCAAATTGACTGTGCAATTAGGAGCCACACTAGCGCTGGTGGACTAGAGGGCAAATATATGAGGGCATGGGAGTAGTTCACCTTGCCTGTCTGCGCAGCTTTTGCCCTTCTGCCGAGCCTGATGAACAGCACAGCAATGTAGACCCTGTTTAGACATGTAGAGGCTGTTTAGACCTGACTGGGACATTAAAACAAGCCAGACTTTTCAACTTTTTGGGTTACAAAACAGAATAGTATTTTCATGGTCTTTTAACTGCACCTACATCTGGAAAAAATACATACAAAAATTCTGCTGAAAATCAGTCCTTCCCAAAGCTTTGGGATTTTGCCTGAATAGTACATCAAAGTGTCTTACTACTTATTTAACATGTACCAAAAAGACTACTAGAAGTTAACTGCTGATGACAAGAAGTCCTTTCCAAACATCATAATAAATTATCAAAATATTTTATGCACAAATCCATAGTATGGAATATGTTCTCTTGCATCCGCATTTCCTAGCCTAAGAGACAATCTTTTCATCAAAAAGTAACATCCACAGGTGAAGTTTCCACTTTCCTACAATATGAATGCAGGGAGAAAAACAATATTTAATCTGAAGGTGCTTTAGTATAGATAATTATTTATGTAAGAGAAGTTTCTCAAAACTTCTACCTACATGAATAAAAAGTTGTCCAAATTCATGTATTATGTTGACTTGTTCTGTGACCCTTATATTGAAAGATTATTACTTAGCTACAATTATTTTTTATTAGATTATAAATATAGCTAGACATAGGAAATTATTCAACATTCAACTATTTTTACTGAAAAATTTGGAAACAGGTACATCACGTTTAATGAATTTGTATCAGTTTTACCAATTTCCTTCTTTTGAATAAAAAACCTTATGTGTTTCAGATTGTGCCTTTTTTTCATATTCCACTACTATAATATGTTTAAGTAACTCAGTTTCATGCTATTTTTTTAATTCCTGTTTAAAAGGTGTAATCTTAACTTGTGACAGCCAAGCAAAATGTCTTGACAAAATATCTTCTTATTCTGCTTTTACATTAATCAGAAAACTAAAAAAAAATAAAATAAAAACCTCTTAGCTTTCACCTAAAAAAAAAATAGAGAGGGAAGAAGTTAAATAGTTGATGAGTCAAAAATATCTTCTCCTAGATGTAAATTAGCATATTACCATGAATTTTCAATGGTCCTTCACATGTATTTATTGGGGGAAATTATATGAAGTGAGGAAGTACACTGATTTAGGGAAGTGAGAGTGGGTGTAAAAGAAAAGGCACATGAGGCTACCTTCCTTCTTTTTTTCTCATTCTGATTTTTCTCATTCTAGAAAAATCTACATGGTCAATATTCATGTCCTCACTCATCACTTACTCAGACCTGCACTTTTACCTGTGCATGTTGACTTCAATACCATTTGAAGAATCAGCCAGAAGCAGAGGCACACAGAGTTGTCATCATCCCAATCTCATGGCACTGTCTTGCTCCCCCACTTCTCAGATGGCAGAGCTGTGTAGACGTTCCATGTGAAAACCAGATAAAGCAGCATTTCTCCATATGGCCATCATAATCTGAATAAAAATCAAATTTTAACTACACTGGCTTCAAGAGGGACTGGTGTGCCAACTTAAGATATTAATTTTCTTCATTGTCCCCATAAAATGAAATGTTTTCATACAACATGTGGAAAAAGGTGATGATGTCTGCATAAATGGACTGCCCAGCACCTATTCAGTGCATGTAATTGTACACAAACATTTGAATCATTTTCTTTAGTTTCTTACTAGGTTTTCCATATCCAAAACATGTTTGTTAACCAGGTTTAGTGAAGGTTTCACGTAATTACAATAGGGCATGCTTGGGCCCAATTCGTGTAATTATATGAAGCAACAGTGTAAAATATGCATTGATACATTTAGGTGCAAACAGCTGTTTCTACACCAACACATACCTATACAGGAAATTATATCATTTTGCAGCAGACAGAATTCTCATTTCTTATTGTGCACCTTCTATTCTAAATAGAGGTCAATCCTTTGTTTAGAATATAGATATAAAGATTGCATCTAAATACCTATTATTTCACTATCAATATGTATGTGTAACAGTACATTTCCGATGCAGATTTAGCTTAGATGAGCTTCTCATAAAAATGTTTCAGAAAACATTAATGAAGTATTAAGCAAATTATAGTCAAATAAAAATATATTAAATTTCAGAAATACTTTCAGCAGCAAAAGGCTATATTTACAAAGAAAAAAAGGTGAATCAAAATAAATGCTTCAATTTATTTATATTGTTTTAATATAATTTTAATATAATTTAATTTTTAAACCTCAGAAATTGTCTTGACCTACTAAAATTATTTCTTATCCTCTTATAATTTTTTTTAAAGGTGGTTCAAAATTCAAATAAACCTGAAGACCTGAAGCATTTATAAAAGTGCTGTTAATTTTTATGCCAGATTATTATGTAACACCACTGCTGAATCACAAGGAATCTGTAGAAAAGTCTGTAGAGATGCATTCTCATACTCACTTCTGAGACATTATTAAAAAGGCAATATTCCAGTACAGCAATACCAGCTCTGTATCATTGAAATTCAGTTTATCCCTCTAGATTTGTTTCTTTGGATGCTGTCACACAGTAGAATGCCAGTATGTTCCATGAGAACAAATTTGACTGAATGTGGTTATTTTTGTATATTTTTATCTTATTTAATTATCCTGAGCTTTGTAATGTGGCGCATCACTTGTTCAAATCAAACACTTCTAAATCAATTCTCTAGGGTCCACCATCCTTTTTTATAGAACTTTCAGGTTTAGATATGAGCTTGGTGTGTAACATCATATGTAATCTTATCATACTAAACTGACAAACTGTTTACTCAGGTGAAGTCCTAGAATCTCCTAAGCAACACAAAAATAGTCACTGAAAACGAAAAGAAAAAAAAAATAAATAAAAAGGCAGAAATGTACATTTGATTCTTATATTTATAGTTTCTTATATGTGTTAATTTAATATTTAGAGAAGCAATACAAAGAAAATATCCTCTTTGAAAAAAAGAAAAAAGTTGCATTTTTACTTTCAAGGCTATTACTTATGAACTCGGAAACTTAGGAAAGGGGTCATTGCAGATTTGAAAAATTTGTCTGTATAGGAAGGAAGGATTGATGAAAAAATTAGAGGTAGAATGTGTTGGGTTTTTTCCTAACAAAATCCATCCATTAATTTTTAAACACTGCAGCAATTCCTGATAAAATCAGAGGATATTTTTATATCAATATTGAAGCCATACAGTTTTATTTTAAATCTGTCAGAAGAAAAGAAAATTCATCAAAGTAGTAGTAAATGTTGTTTAAATAATACTCATCTCTCAGTGGGTGACACCCTAGGGAAAGTAGAGTATTTCAGTAAAGTTAAAAGTCTGCACTAAAATTACCTGTGTCATTCTTAGAAATTCCTTCCAAATCCCAATATTACACCTTCTTGCATTAAGAATGCCTGCATATCCCTTTAAGTTTAAAATCTTCTGAAGTGTTGCCCCTACTGCCTTCCTACCCCTGTATAAATAAATACTCCTTAATAGAAGCCTTGAAATTATGTTTCTTGGGTAAGACACTAACTTCAGCTTAGCAAATGGTCCTTGAAGTGGAACATAATGGGAACTGCGTGTTGGAAATTCTGTTTTAATAATGAAAAGTCAGGTTTTGCCAGGAGGTGGTGCTTTTGTACAAAATGTTGTGCAGATGAAAGTAATCTCATTTCTCCCATAGAGATAAAGTGTGTTCTAGTATTCACTCTCGTTCCTGCCTGTTTCATCATTCCTCTGCCACTTCCTGCCCAAAAAATGCACAAAAAAGGAAGAAAAAAAAAAAAGAAGAAGCTTAGAGTACTTACATAGCTTACCTTTGAATAAGTTTCAGAATAGCAGTCTGTCTACTAGCAGCACCCTTTGATCTTGGCTTTCCTATGGGCAAATAGTGTAGTCCTCTCTTATCTTCTACTATTCCTCAGATTCCCTTTTGTAGTTTATCCAAATGCATTCTGGATTGAATCATGGATTTATGGATTTAAACCCTAAAATCATATCTAAATCCTTACCTACTTGTGCTATTTTGTTGATGTCAATGTTAGGACTGCTAATTTCAATTCTATTTTGAAAAGCATAAAAATTACCAGACCAGATTTTCTGTGTTTCTGTTTTGCATCTGAAGTCATATGTCAAAACAAACCACAATAAAAATAGTTGTGTGCATTCAAATTAATTGGATTAAACCCAGCAGAACGTCCATGCTTTCCATCTTAGCCAATGCATACACACACAAGTATTTGTTATACAGAAACCTGAAGGTGGTTCCAACAATGCAAAGGCTCACCTTCCTAAATTTGTGATGACACTTCATCTTAAAAAAGGAGAGAAGGAAAGTGAACCTCTCTCCAAACTGAGGGCTTGTCCCCCTAAAGATGACCACATCTGTTGTGGTGCTGTCATCTCCTGGAATTCATGAATTCTTCTCAGACAACAGTCCCCATGATCTCTGCATGTGCTGATCCTGTGCGAGCCTTTACAGTGATGTTTCATGTGAGTGTTTGTGCATATCTGGGGGGCTCCATGCCTCCTCCATCTGTAACTGAGTTTCCTTTCCTCCTACAGAGCTTGCACTAGCACTCATTTATCTCAGAGTACAAATCTCTCCCTGCCTTCTACTCAAAGCCTCAACATCAAGTCAGAACCTGTTTCTCCTCCTAGAGATCGTACCACCACACCATCGAGATACCAACAGCACACGCGCCATGAGGCGGGGAGATCTCCTGTTGACAGTTTGAGCAGCTGCAGCAGTTCCTACGATGGAAGTGACCGAGAAGATCACCGGAATGAATTCCACTCCCCCATTGGACTCACCAGACCTTCGCCGGACGAAAGGGAAAGCCCATCTGTCAAGCGCATGCGGCTCTCTGAAGGATGGGCAACATAACATTATAACCTATTAGTTGAGATTTTTTTTTCTTGCAGTGTGTGTGTGCTATACTCTAATGGGAGGGGGGAGGGGGGAAGGGTCGATATACATTATATGTGCTGTGTGTGAAAAAAAAAGTCAGGTACTCTGTTTTGTAAAAGTACTTTTAACTTGCCTCAGTGATGCAGTATAAGGATAAACAGAAATGCTGAGATAAGCTTGGCACTTGAGCTGTACAACAGAACACTTGTACAAAATAGATTTCAAGGCTAATTTCTTTTCACTGTTGTGCTCCCTTGCAAAATGTATGTTACAATAGATAGTGTCATGTTGCAGGTTCAACGTTATTTACATGTAAATAGACAAAATGAAAACATTTGCCAGAAAATGGCAGATCTTTACTGAGAGAGAAAGCAGCTGTTATGCAACATATAGAAAATGTACAGATGTTTTGACAGATCCAGCAGTTGGGTGGCCATGAATTTATGCTAGAAAGAGACTGAGTCACCTAACATACTGAAAATGCTCACAAACATGCAGGCATTTTGTTAGAGTATGGCACTCAGTTAAAAAGGATCAAACCATTTCAAGAGGACCATACTTATAGAAATGTTGAGTTCGAGGGCTGACATACTTGATTTCAAAAATTCTGGGTCTGCATCACTTATTAAATAAAAAAGTATAAAAATATGTACATTACATTTAGCTTATTTTCATATTAAAAAGTAAGACAGAGTTTGCAAGACATTTGTGGCTTTTGTAGTTTCCTTAAGCCAAAATTTGTTCTTTTTCCCTTGATAGCTTTGCTAATCTTTTAAGCAGTCCTGAAGAAACAAACAAAAAGGACTTTCTGTATAGAAAGCTCTACCCTAAGCCTTGAGGAACTCCATGCTTTGCTAATCAAGATAACTGTTTTCTCTTTGCAGAAGTTTTGTTTTTGAAATGTGTATTTCTAATTATATAAAATATTAAGAATCTTTTTAAAAAAATCTGTGAAATTAACATGCTTGTGTATAGCTTTCTAATATATAATAATTATGGTAATAGTTTTTGTTCTCTTGATAGTGGGGAATTATATTTGTGCAGTTGCACATTTAACTATTTTCTTTTGGTTTTCTTTTAGTGGGTATACATTTTACAGATCAAAGTCAGCTGCTGAAAGACTGATCTGTAAACAATTAGACTTTACCCATAGTGTAACAAATCATTTTAATACAGTATTTTACAATCAGCTGGGTGAACTGCCATCTGTTGTATATACTGATTAGTTCTTTCATGCTGTTTTGTGCATTGTAACAAGTTAAGGGCCCTTCTATTACGTAACATCCTGCGTATCTTGTAGTTTTCCATGGGTTAAATGACAAAGTGGCATAACTTGGCCCTTTCTTATTAATGAAGCTGGTATTCTGCCTGTCTGAATTGAATGTGCAGCTCTAATGGCTGTAAGCTACATGAGTGCAGGTAAATATGTAACGAAGCAGCAGAGGGAGGCAAAGGGAGGGATCAGCACGAAAGTACCTGCTGGATAGATTCCTTCCCTCTCACAGACATAAAACTCTTAAAGAGATTATCAGTTAAAGAGTGGTTCAAGATCAGTTGATTTTACACAGGCAATATTGGCCATCTGGTTCTTGGTTCTCATGGACCTCTGCAGTCATATCATCTCACAGTGGGCATGTTGTTGAGCAACACTCCCTGTGTGTTTACACCAGACTAGGACTTGCTTCAGCACACAGCATCCACATTTTCTCCAGCCTCATATTGTTCCTTTGACTAAGATAGCTTGACCAGAGGTAATGTGTCATTTCCTTCAAGTCCCTCTTTGTCCCTCTTATTTATTAGGAAAAAAATGTATATTCAAGTGTTTCAGTTTCATCTTTCTGTTGGAGGGAAAAGTGTTTAAGCAAAATGTTAGTGTCATAGTAAAAGAGTAATATTTCTCCTTTTTTAAGAGTCCTTCTAGGTCTCAACTATATACATTGATATTATGATGAAAAATACAGCAGCAACAGCAAAGAACTTCTAAGTGAAATCCACACTTTTTCCACCTATACATGCAGGTGCTGCGCACTGCTCAATGATGGAGTGTACCTCTCTGTAGTAGAGAATGATGATCAGACAACAGTGTGCATTAGGACATAGGCTCTTCACTTACCATGACTTTACAGAAGCCTGCCTTACAGGCACTTTCAGCCATGCAGGGGCTAGTACATAATGTGTAAACTCTTTAAGCAGAATACTGTGTTACTAATGCATTCATCTTACCTCGTGTAGCAAACTGCAGGGTAAACAAAGATACGCATGTTTTAAAAAACCCAAAAAATAAATTTAAAAACTCAAACAAAAAAAAAAGGTAAAATGGGGCCCATAATTAATTTTACAATACAAAAACCACTTTCCTCACCCTCATATTAACCTGTACTCATATTCTCTTTTGAGAATTTTAAACTTTAGTGTGTCAAAAATATGCAAATGTATCACAAATATACCTTGTCGTTCCAAGAAAAAATACAATTTTATTGGTATAGCAGTAGAAACTTCTCAGTGGGGAAGGGGATTTGGTCTATTGATATATTAAGAATAGCCATATTAATAGTTTACCTTGCGATTTGCCTCAGCAACACATGAAAAAAATGAAAGATATCATTTAATGAAGACGCAGTGTATAATATTACTGCAAGTAACTAAGCAAAAAGTAGCATGAAAAGTATTGCCTGGGCAATTTATATTAACTCTGACAGTGATTTTTTGTATAAACACAAGTAGAACTGAATCACATGGAAATAAATGCCAGTTAGCCCTCTTGTTCCTGCTGCAGAAGGCATCTAACTTATACTGGCAAAATTGTGGGGGATAATGCATATTTGCAAACTGATCTAATGATAAGAAGCACAACTTTGATTGTGAAGTCACTTTCTGTAAACTATAACTGTCTACCTTTCTTGTTCCTTTATCTGTATCTTACCATTTATTGTATTTGCAAAAGCTAATTTGGGTTTATTGTGTGATTCCTTTGTATTTAAGGAGCTTGGGGCAGAGCCCTGAAAGAGCAACATTTACTTTACCTTAACCCATGCTATATGATGTTTTAGGCAACATTCTTAATTGTAAGTTCAAACACCTGAAGTGGCATTCTAGACATCTGCAAGTATTGTTATAGCTAAGTTAATCTCTATTAGAAGGTGTTGTCAGTTAGTGTTTAATTGCTGGTGACAATTATATGATATACTCTATCTGCACAACATATATATTGTATGAATTGAACCATTCACGGTAAACTTTGTTCATTTCAGTGTCTCTCAAAAATTGTGTTTTATAACAAAATGGCTTATATTTTTCCCAGAAGAGAAATTTAGCAATTTTTAATGACTAATGACTAGTGTAAAAATTACCTGTTGTCCTCAGATCTTTTCCAGGTAAAGCTAGTATAAGAATGGAACTCACAGGCTGTTTCCAAGGATGTCAACCCTTTTGTATTGTATTTGCAATCCTATATACCCACTTTTACCTGTAGTCTAACAGCTGTTTGTTTTCCTTCTTCCTTCACCTTGAAGGTAAATGCTTTGTAATTTTTTAAAAGCCACTTGAAACCTCAATAAAGGCTGTTGCCTAAACATGGCATACTTCATCTGTTCCTGTTTGTGCCATCTGCTGTGATGTCGTCAGTTATATGGCATTAATTTCCTGCCACTACAGGTCTCTTGAAGGACTGATGGAACACTGGTGTCTGTTAGAACGCTTCACACTGTAGATGTAATAAAAGGCTTTTGTTAAATATTTTAACCAAAGATGTGGAGCAATCCAAGCTTTGAGCCACAGACTTTCTGCATCAAAACTATCCATTTGATTCTTTTCATAGTCTCATGTTGCATTTCTACCTTCCCTTCTCATACCTCAGACTGATCCATACCTCTATTTGATTTTTTTTTTAAAAAAAGGTCATTTAAGAAAGTCATTTAAAAAAAATTTAAATTAAAAATGCAGTACTAAAGTCGTCTGTGTATTTAATATCAGACCTGGGTTACTGCAGGCATTACACTTGGATTGCTTCAGATGGTTTGTTGTATCCTTTTTTCTTTTTTTCTTCTCTTTCATGGGGATTTGCTTCCATAAAATAATGGTGATAACAAAATAGCTTGTAAATGGGAGCATACAAGCATTTGCAACAAATATTAAAGTAGAGGCTCACAGCGGCATAAGCTGGACTTTGTCGCCACTAGATGACAAGATGTTATAACTAAGTTAAACCACATATGTGTATCTCAAGGGACTTAATTCAGCTGTCTGTAGTGAACAAAAATGGGAAAATTTCAAAAGATTCTCCTGCTGAAAATAAGGTATAATTTGTATTTTGCAGACAAATCAGTAAAGTTACTGGCTTTCTTAGTGATATGGTGTCTGTTGTGCATTTTTTTTATTAATTTAAATAGTGTTCAGTTTTCACTGTTTCACAATGCAATACATGAAAGAATCAGCGCTTTAACTACCAACAAGTGTCTCAATTTTATCAATTATTTGTGCTTGCTTTGAAAGCTAAGCAATATTTTCTGGCACACATCATCACACCAAGTCAGGGAAATCCCATCACTGCTCTGGAGTCAGTGTAATTTGGAATGTGGCCATCTGAATCTGTCCCTAGCAGAGGAGCTAGGTGAAATAATGCCTGGCTTTCAAGTGCTTAGTAAACTGACAGGAAATCAAAACTCCCATATATACATGTCCTGTGAATTCTACCCATGGGGACAATCATGCAAAAACCCTCCAAAAAATGTACGTACTGCATTGCCGGGGTCGGCTGTTACTTGTCTCTTCCCCAGCACGGGAAAAGGTGGTTCTGGGTAGGCCGTGCTCTCGAAGAAGGAGTCTGGACTCTTGCTTTTAGGTCTTCAGTCGAGTTTATTATTTCTTATCTACAAAGATTTTCTGTCTGTCCAGCCGAGGTCTGATCAGCAAGACAGCCAAAGGCACTCTCCCCCGCCCACGGGGCAGTTGTCTCTTTTATAGTGAAAACTACGTATTAGATATTTACCTTTACTTCCCAATACTTTCTGCCCTTGTTGGCAAGTGTACTCTTTCTATGAACCAATCCACACATGCCAACATCATCCTGAACATGGATGCCAAGGAGAAGAAAGAAGAAGGACAGGGCACGCCCAAATTCCTCCATCTTGGGACTCCTGATCCATGCACAGAATTCTAGACCCCCCTGTACAACACATAAAACCCCCCTGTACAGTGCATTCTAACTTAAGTTCTAACAAGTGAATAACATCCCCTCACCATTCAAACCTGAAATTCTCTCATCTCCTCACCTTCAGGTGTCATTTCTTTAAAAGGATCAAAGTCAAGCCACCAGGTACTTTTGGCAACATTCCAGGGCCTTCGAGCCCCCCAAGGGTTGTCTCGGTAGCTCTGGACATCCGGAGTGATGTACTGAGTTCCCACACTGCATCAAAATCATATATCATTGGATCTGCACTCTGTTTATATATGCTCTCTAACAAAACTGGATGAGGACCGTGTCAGAATTGATCTATTCATTTTTCTATATTTTTTCCTCAGAATGTTTGTTTGCTTGTTTTTTATTTGTTTGTTTGTTTATTGGAAGTTACAGGGGGTTTTCCAACTGATATTTTACAGTTTCAGAGTTTGAGAAAGAATCATTTTATTTCAAAAAGATGTGTTTTTACACCAGAAGCAGACAAGTTATTAAGAAGCTAAGGTGCTTGGTGAAGGTTTCAGTTTCAAAAATAACTTTACAAAACCTAGTTTCTAAATAGGTTTATGAAAGAAAAGAGCTGTGCTGTTCCTTAAAAGAAATGACAATTTCTTTTAAGAGAAATATTGTTAGTATTGCAGTGTTGGACACTGCCTTGCAATGAGATACTAAAACTAAGATTAAGCGTCATTGATTTTACTACAGAACATATTTTGTACGAGTAAATAGCTTTTTTTCATCATTGGCCAGGATAAACAAAATATTTCTGAAAATGAGGTTGTCTTAAAAGATTTATCTGGGAGTCTCCCATCTTGCAGTCATCTCTCTGATTAATACTGATAATGCTATACCTGCATTGGAAAAAAATTACATAGGAAATAGAGTCTGTTATGTACTTTGTTCTGTTATTTGCTTATCTGAAAATAAGAAAAATAAGCATAAACTTCCTGATTACTTTGCTTTAAATTCTGTTAACTCTATTTATAAACAATTTTTTAAATTATGTTGAAATAGGAGTGAGGGCGGGTTAACAATTGTTTGAATAACCTTTTTCAGTTTAGGTTCACATGCCATCCTAAAAGGCAATTGTGAAGTGTACAGTCTGAAATAATAACTAATACCTTTCCATCCAGATTGTTTACTTTCCCTGAAAATTGTTTTCTTCTTTTCTTTAGCAAAAATCAATGTATCTTTGTAGAACTGGGCAAATATGCTGAGACAGTTGATGCATATGTCACATTAAGGAGAGCAAGCCTACAACGTGGCTCATTCATACATTACCCTTTCTTAAACACAATGCCTGTATTTCCCGAGGTAAAATACTGGGGAATGAAAGAACCCAAGGAACAGCAAGGAGGAATGATTTTAAAATAATCTGATTATTAAGTCTACAAGCAGAAAAAATATACTGTTTCTCTCTATTGACAGATATAGCCTATTCCTCCTTAATTCGCTGTAAATTCACCAATGCAGCAAGGTTACCTGCTACACCTAAACTGATACATGGAACTCCAGCTTTCTGGAGTCCCTGATACTGAGACATTTAGACTGCTTAGTCACAGGGCTACATTTTTTGTATTCATGTACTGTACTTAATGTTTTACACTAAGTATTCAGAGCACCTGTAATAGGTAAATCTATACTGCGTTCTCTGCAGTCCATCTAGACTCATCCAAGGTAACTCTTGTGAGCAGATATTTTGGTTAACAGTAATCTTTATACTGCTGGTATTTCTTCCTCCTCTTCCAGAAGATATTGTAGAATGCTTTGGTTCCATTCTGGATCCCCTTGATTGCTAAAAACACTTGAAAGCTAACATGAGAATACTTGTGTGAATGTTGAATTTCAACAGAGTTCCTCACTTCTGAAAGGTGCAAAGTGTGCTGTTCTAATTGTGCTTTCTATCCTCTTCTTTGTGTTTCTGTCTGTGGTTTGTTCACAGTCTGTCCGAAGTTTTCAGCTTCATGTATCTGTATTTATCTGGACAATGATCCATAAGTTCTTTTAAAGAAAAAAGGTTAGAAAATGTTGCCTCCTTCTAGGAGCAGGGATTGATCAGCATTAGCTGTGCAGATTTTACTTCTCTGACCGAAGACATAAAATAATGTAATAGAATACTTAACTATGTAGGAAAACTTAGAAGTGATAAAACTTAAAGGTAATGTGTTTGCATTATAAATATAATTAGTGTAAATTTGATTTTTGTTTTCACAGCACATTGCATAGCTAATTATTTTCTGCAGAGTTGCTAAGGATCAGATTTTCAGACTCACAGTGAAAATGCAGAATCCTGTGAGGCCCAAGTGACTTTTCTGAAATGCTTTACACTATGGTAGCAATTTTTTAGGGAAGTGAAAGTTAGAAAATATCATTATGACATCCTTTACAGATGCATTTTGACTGTGGGAAACCTTCATGTAATACATATTACTCTGCCTGTTCTGAATACAGAATAAGATGGGCAGGAGACAAATTTGCTTGAAAGAAGAAACTACATAAAATATTAATTTTCTACTTGAAAAATACATGAATGAGAGAGTATATCCTTATGTGTGAATAATATGGATATAACAGATCTGCAGGAAAATACCATGTGTTCTCTCTCAGAAACACTGGAAGCACAGGATATATGCAAAGAAACCATCAGACAGCACGCTCACAAGGGCATATGATAAGCATGTTATATGCAATTAAGTAGTGGGATTTTTGGCCATAAAGGATTGTGGAAACAAATATCCTGGGTAAGTTCATAATCGTTCAGATAAGTTAAAAGGGCATAGTTGCATTTCTCTTGTTAGGTGTGATGATACACTTACAGTATCCAGCTAGAGTAAAGGAATATTTTCTATAGCTTGTTTTTGGAAAATGAGAACAATTCTAGGGAACAATTCATGTACGCTTTTAATGTTGTATGCACTTCCCTCTGAAAATCCCCTACAGACTACTGTCAGGGAAAAGATAATGATCCAAGTGGACTTTGTTCTGATATGGCAGTTCTTGCGTCTAGACATCACATAAAACCATCCTAATTTTCCCTGCAAACCCTTTTTTTCAGATTAAACATATTGATTTTACAGTGCTGGAAATTAGTACAGTATAAATTCAGTACGCATTCAGTACACATAATTAGCCAAGAGCTAAATCTGTCACTTAGCCTGGCTTTGCTTTTGGAGGAACTCTGGAGAATAAAGGAGAATTTATGACCTTTGGAAGAAGGGGCAGGCAACTCAAGAAGAATACAAGGTGTCATTAGGTCATGTAGAGAAAATATCAGAAAGGAAAAAGTTCAATTAGAATTCAATCTGGTCAATCACTGGTGTGAAAGATGTTTTAAAAATATTTTTCTAATACATCAGCAACTAAAGCAGAGACAAAGAAAACCTCCATACTTTATTGAACATGGAGGGGGACCATGTCAGCAAGGATAAGATAGAGGCTGAGGTTCTTAATGCCTTCTTTGCCTCCAACTTTAACAGTAAGACAGTTATTCTTAGGGAAACCAGGCCCCTGACATGGGGAGAATAAACAGGAAGCAGAATAGTCCCCTTGTAATCCAAGAGAAAGTAGTTAGTTACTTGCTGAGCAATTTAGGCATTCATAAGTCTATGGGATCAGATAGGTTTTGTCCAAGGGTACAGAGGAAGCTGGTAGAAAAGCCCTGCAAGACACTGCCCATGATTTATCATCTCTCCTGGTTAACAGGGGAGGTCATGGATGACTGCAGGTTGACCAGTGTGAGGTACATCTCCAAGAAGGGCTGGAAAGATCTGAGGAACTACCAGCTGTTAGCCTGACCTCTGTGTCCAGCAGGATTAGGGAGCAGACCACCTGAGTGCAATCACCTGGCACCTGCAGGGCAACCAGGGGATCAGCAGCAGGAGCATAGGAAAGGCAGGTCCTTCCTGACCAACCTGATCTCCTTTTTTTACCAGGTCACTTACCTGGTGGATAAAGGAAAAGCTATGGATGCTGTCTGTATGAACATAGCAAAGTCTTCAAACTGTCTGTGACTGCATTCTCCTTGAAAAGCTGGCAGCCCATGGCTTGGACAGGTGAACTCTTGTCTGGGTTAAGAACTGGCTGGATGGTTGAGCTCAGAGAATGGTGATGAATGGTGCTGTATCCAGCTGGCTGTTGGTCACCAGTGGTGTTCCCCAGGTCTTAGCATTGGG